GGGGGAGACAGAAGTGTTTCAAAGATGTAAAAGAGAGAGAGACGCAAAGTTGGAAAAAAGGTGAGGTGAGTACGGTTGAAGTAGTCGAATATGACATACAGTGGGATGATGGTAGTTTGAAGTCAGAAGTCAACTGTCAGTTAATAGACTTTTTGCCGTATGAGTATATGTTTCCCAGGATGCACCACGTGGAGGTAAGTCTATCGCACACCCCTGGTGCGTATACTAATAAGTCCCATAGTAGAGGCTGGCAATGCTGCTTAGTTTGTACGCTTTAAATAACTTATAAGCATCACCACTGCAGTCATATTTAAAATTTCAACAGATAGTGAAATGAGTAACCGTAATTAAATCTTTTAGTAAAAAAAGTGGGTTGACCAAGCACCTCCATCAACTTTAGATACAGACAATAAAAGTGTTTCATTCTCGGCATTCGGTTATAAATGATAGTATTTTTAAAAGTTATACTTCATTAGATGAAATCATAAATCAGTGATATGAATTACCTTCAACTGCAGTACTCGTTTATATTGATCATAAAGATTTATTAAAATTGTATCCGAGAAAGTGGCTGGTGGTATACGGATAGTTTCACAGAACTGGAAGTTCTCAAGATGTACCCCGAATCGCACAACATCCGAACAGCTGATTTCGAAAACTGACGTTGCTTTATTTGGTGGCAGTCGAGAACGAATAGATGTTCCTTCAAGGAAGAACGTCATCTCACAGGGCAGCAGATTGACAACACGCAGAACTGGGCCCAAAGTCAAGTGATGACCAGGTAGGACCACAGACGCTATAATGAAACGGTGATTTTAAAATTATAGGCCTAAAAAATAAAACTAATTACGCATTGCATTTTACCTTCACGAAAAGCAGGATCGGGAGGGAAAGCATCACGAACAGCAGTAAGGCAGAATTGCCAAGGAGAAGAGAACTGGAATTTAGAGAGTAAATTAGGTGGGCGTCTAGGTAAAATTAAAGTAGTTGAATAGAGGCCAACCTTTCGATCTGATTTTAAGCAACGACAGGACATTGCACATTCATTGAACTCCCCAGGTTTGGAAAGACGCCGCCAATCCATAGCTTCGCCCAAGGAAGTGACAAATTTCATTCCCCCTCCCTCCTTTGAGATATCAAAGGTGATCTGGTGGGACCATTCAAAGAGAACAGATGACTGTGAGAGATCACCTGAACCAATCAATACGGGACGGAAACAGAGGCGTTCACCGTTTTCTCGACGTGCAGCCAAAGAGAGGGGTAGAGCCTCAGTCTTCCCAAAGGCCACTCGAAGACCACTTTCTATTACTGAGGTGGGAGGTATGGTGGGAGATGTTGGAAGATGTGCTAGCCCAACTTCAACTGCAAGGTGTGGTGAAAGACGATTTGTGACAGTTAAGCCTGATCTGACAATTATTAAATTCTGAGCGGAACCTCTACGAACGATCTCGATCACAAGGCGAGTCGCTGGAGCCAAATGAGGATCCTGTAAAATTTTGAAAAAAAGAAATAAAAAACGTAAAAGCATTGGAACAAACTTATAATAGTGTAGTCATACATCTACTTTGCCTATTGATCAAACCAACTTGGCACAGTGTCAATCAATTATTAATCTTATACTTAGCTCACATATCATCTGCCTTAAAAATAATTGTGAATAAAAGGATGTCCTCTTTGCCTTCGGTCTATATTTGATTTAAGCAACAGTTTCTATCATCTCCCTCATTTGTTTGTGGAGAAGCCAGAAGTTAGAATGGCTAATAACACAGAAAGATCATTTATCTTACATGAATACCTCCTAGACATAATCTATTAACTTAATATTTTTTTGATTTTGAAGGAGTTAAATGTCCCCACAAGCGCAACTTGAGACCGGTTTAGACAAAACTATTTTCTTCAAGGTCATCTGCTTCTGTGAGCCTATTTATTTGTGACATGGTGTTATTAATACGAACTGCACAAATTTTTCCGAGTAGCTTAAATAAACCACCTGAAGTGCTCTGACTAGAAACTGACCGCATTTTGCTGCAGACGAATAGTTCGCGAGAAAACACCAAGCCTATCCAAAGTAATTGGATAAGCTGAAGACCAACCCTCAACTTGAATGAGTAGAAGAGGAACTCTGGTCCCTTCTCGATCGTCGACTCTACTTTGACCTCTACCAGTAGCAGCAAGAGGGGACTGGAAAGGTAGTTGAACAGAAGCTTCCGGTTCTACAAGAGTCCAATCCGCAAATTCCTTGCTACTACTGAAATAAAATGAAAATATGAGAAAATTAATCACGAAGTAGAGGTAAAATGTGATACATTTTTCTATTTAGTCCTACTGCGTGCCACTGGTTTGGCATTCCCATTCACATATATTTCCTCTCGACTACTACCTGACAACGCTCATTAAGCCGGTCGATTCCCCAATTCTATAAACAATATCCAATTTCTGTGTGATTATTGGTTGTGTCTTATCATAATAGAGGCCTATTAGTGACTAGTAGTCGTTTTCACTTTGCCTTTACTCAATCCAGTTAATATGCTTGTGCACGAAATATTGATAAGAAGTTAGCTTACTTCATAGGTGAAGACACAGAGAACGATGGAGGTAATGTAAGGGCTGCAGAGACGACTTTCTTGAAGCGAAGCGTTTGACCAGTTTTATTGCAGAGACAGAAGGGAATAAAGGGAGTTCGGAGTCTACGTCGGGTTAGTTGAGATGATTTCATCTTTGCCAAAACTAGTTTTGTGAGACGGACAAGAGCCACTGTCAAGTTGATATTGATAGTGTCCGGAGCTGAGTTATAAATAAACGGATATTTTCAAATCGGCTAGTGAAACAAGGAACAAATAGCTTAAAGTTTAAGATGGAAAGCTTACAATGAACTTCAATGATGGCACAGTCGCCTTTCGACGGGTCATCTGAGCGCAGTCGCCAATCGCAAACCCCCCTACACGAATAAATTGAAAAATGCGATTGGAAGTAACGTAGGGGGAGAATGATGATTAACTTACAAGAAAGGTTCAATTGCAGGCTCAAGAGCAGAGAGATCACGATTGTAGTAGTTAGCGGACAATCGACCCATTACTCGACCTATGGCCCAACCAGTTAGATTCCACTTTAACGATATGTCTGGAATTTGAAACAAGAATAAACAATATATAAAAAAGAAATTCCATCATTTGACGCATAATTAAGTGAGAAGACTTTCAAGAGGTCATTTGCACAAACTGACTACTACAAGATTTAAGGACATAATAGATTATCCGCTGAAGCCATCTCGTTTCTCTGCTTCAATAATACAGACATATCTTCACATTTGTGACAAGACAAAAAAGTGTATGGACCTTATGTGACCAATGATAGCAAGAAAAAGTCTTTAAGGAAGTGCACTCAATTAATTCTATGGTAAGCTGATACCCATATATGGTCGGGAAACTCCAATAACTAGTTCAAAATCTGTAATAAACAATAAGCATAATTCACAAGAAATGTAAAAAAGTACACGAGTTTTTAATGGTCTCTCTCCAAGTCTAAAAGATTAGAATAACATATCCACTTCCCACTTTGTGGAATACATAGATTTATTCTAGAGAGATAGATTAAGAGAATTGCTAACTAACCTGAAACTTGGATCTTAGCCAAAGGAACATCAGCGTCAATACAATCATCGATAAGGCACAGGGAGAATCCAGAATGAAACTATTAAAAAATACGTATTTCATGCAAAATACCGTAGAATAAACAACAGCATATTATTTAAGGAGACATACACTAATCTCTGAGATATGCGGAGTCAACTGATCAACTAAATCTCTTAAGAATCGAACAAGCAGAGATCTTGGTGAATTGAAGGTAGAGATTTCATTAATCTTTGGAGGCTTAGAAGGAGATGCCAAAAGCACAATAGCTGCATCGATCTGTCCATCAGTCGATTGCAAAGCCTTCAAACCATCCTCCGCTGAAAATCCCATTTCTACAAGTCTGGCAATCGAGGCGTCTGAAAAAATAACCCATCATTCAACACGTAATATCAATATTACAAAGTTAGGCGACATAAAGGTACAAACCATAAGCAGTGCTAAGGATAGGGTTAACAGCTTTATCCTTTTCATTTCCACCAAAGGCGTAGACAGCTTGTTCGTGAATTGAATTCAATAGATCAAAGAAGAGAAGGCCATCGGTGTACGAAAAATGAGTTCGAAGTGTTGACGTTTGAATTTCAAGACTGGCTCGAGGGGTTACCAGATCTTGAAGCCCAGCAGAAGTAGAGCGAAGACTTGAATGTTTGTTAATAACTTGATAAGGCAACAAGGCCACTGTGAGATCTGTAGGTTCGACAATAACGGCCCGCGAGCTTTCGATAAATCCCTGGAGTGTATGTAAGCCGACACCATGGAGACAGAGATGCATCAAAGCTTGACTCAATGAGCCGCCAGAACGCAATAAGAAGCACATTGCACCCTATATAAAAAAACAAATTACCTACTTGACTAAAATAAGTAGAAAGTTTTAATGTTAGATAAAGACGAACCGTAAGCACAGCAACATTAGTGTCCGCTTGAGACAGATTCTCCATTAGGACAAACTCTGTCTGATCGCTAAACACGCGAAGATCTGAAGTGGCCTGCGGAATGCGGAACTGAGAACATGCTTCATTATTAGGCTTAACATTCGATTCACGCTTTTGAGATGGCTCATTAGACAAATTCATGGTAGAAGACGATGGATGAATAGGTTGAGTTGTTAGAAAACGATAAAAATCAGCTAACCAATCAAGAGCGAGAATAAGCCTCATTGAACGCAGATTAAAAGTCATACTACTAGTGGTCGATGTGGTGATTATATTACCTCGAGAAGCATCAGCGGTACCAACCGGAGTTACAACTTGAGTCACGCGGAACTGTGGAGAAGATGCAGATAAACATCCATCGATATTATTTTGGGGCTTTGAGAGAGCAGAGAGTATAACCGGGAAACAATTCTGAGGCTCTGGTAAACCTACGATTTGAATGAAAGCGCGGTTATGTGGACAAATAAACAAACATTTGTAAAATTATCATTCCACAAACCTTCAAAACGCGTATCAGTAAAAGTGGCAACGGAGCATGCGAGATCGATGATATATTTGCCACAAGAGTAGCTATCGTAAGTTAGACGCGATTTCGCCAAATCAAGACGACAGAATGGGGCCATTTTGGGAAGATTATCCTTGAGATGACGTTGTGAAGCCCAATCCGATGGAACTGAGAGGCAAATGGAAACATCTTCAAGATCAAAAGTGAAGGCGAAAGTACGGTAGGGCCGGCGAGTGTAGATAGCTCCCCGGTTCTATAGCAGGAAGAAATTATAGCCATGCGAGCTGGAAATTCGGAACTTATTTTACAGCAACTCTTAAGTCTAATAGCACGGTGGCTGTGTTTTTCCATCATCAAAACTCCCTGGAATGGGGTGTGTGAAAGCTGGGTTTCCGTAACACTTGTCTAACGGAAAGACTTTAACTAATTTAATATGGCTATAATGATATAGTAAGGTCATGTGAACAGCTTAATATCATGGAAGTCCATTTCACTTGTTCAAATTTTGGGGAAAAAGTAAGCGATAAAATCAAGAACTGGCCAATGAGTATTACATATGATGGGCAAGAATTTACTCAGCAGTCAAGGAGACGAACCATGGAAGTTGAATTGCACAATCCGCCCCATCCATTAAGAACTTATTATGCAAACCTAAACCAGAACTGAAATGAAGTAGGGCACTTCGATCTTATGACTATGCTCTCTCCCCTCTTATGCCGTTTGTTGTATTCACTGTTAGTCGATTTCCCATATTTAAAACCGCATTTCTTTCCCCTGCTAAGGATATAATATATAATAACCACGGGGATAAGGTGGACAAAAAGAATCATCTAATAGTAAAGGCATTACACAAACAACTAGCTCAAAACTCTTTAAATTAGCATTTTTATTAGAGCAGCTTTCTGCTAAACGCAAATGCTGGCTCATATCTACAGTGTCTTCATTATCAAATGAACAAACTACACAAAATAGACTACCCCATTTAGAATATGTATTTTCCATTCACGCTGCTCCTTAACCTACTCCATTTACCATCTTATTATATACAGTGGACCAACATGCATAACCTCTTTTCCTTTCCACTCAGGAAAGACTGTTTTATGAAAGAGTAAGTAATTAATCATAAATTAACCGTTCTCTAACCCACGCGTTACTACTTACTAACTTAAGTGAGAGTAAACCAGTTCAATAGAAATAGCAATTAACCAACATGCCTTTGATGCAGCATTCCATCCAGATAATTCACAACCTACGACACTGCTGACAGAGTTATTTGACGATCCACCAATATTGTGAGCAAGAATACCTCTCAAAATCCTGTACTCTCGTAGCCCAATGCAAATCGGCGCTGCAGTACAAAGACGAGCTGAGAGACGCCAATCAGGTACTGCGTGTAAATCTTTTGCCCCACACAAATTTCTTTCAACCAATACTGTAAGTCCAAAAGGTTCTGTCAAGGCGGCTGCTTCAGGAATTATACAGAAGGTTCCGAAGTTAAGCATTCGTGAACTAGTAGCGTCCACGACATCTAAAGAAATAAAACAACATAATAGGCGTTATCAAAAAAATAAACAGAGAAGCACTGGGATTCGTACCCTCTACGTTGTATCGTTTACCACAATATATTTCAATGTGATCTAAACTGAGATGAATACGATCCAGAAGACAAGGCGAGTTTGCAATGTTTTCAGCCGCATTTTCAGCTTCAAAGAGGAAAGATAGTAATGAGCATGATATGGGATCAAAATAGGCAAAAAAGGAAAAGGCTTACTTTCACCATAGTAGAAGCCCTGAGTCATTACATCTTTTGAGGAAATTGAGCTGTATTCATCACTATAAGATCAAAAATAATATGATTGAACTAAAAACGAAAATTACCCAAAGTTTTATAAAAGATATATAACAAAGAGGTGCCTAGCACATTTAACCTAGTGTTCTTTTATCCATCAAGGCGGCCAGAATTGATCAGTGCGTTTGGTTAACCACAATACTGGAGGAGCACTATTAAGATGAGATCTCATGATCGGTAATTTGACATCACTGATCAATTCTATCGTGCATTTGAAGCACAACTTTCCGTTTGACTGGCTAAGCTTGCTACTAAGAGCGCCACTTTCCAAAGATGAGAAGATAAGTTAATCTATTTAAAAAACTCAAATGACTTTGATGATTTGTTCATCCACAGCACCCAATTCTTATCGTTTTTTTCACCTAAAAGTAGAAGACAAATTCAGAAATCATTAAAAAAATAAGGCTGCTTACTGTGTGACATTTACTCCTCATCAAGCCCGCGATGGGGTTAAGCATCTATTAATTCTATCGCAGTTAGCATCTTCAAACTGTTTTTAATTCTGCCAAAAAGAACTTACGAATTACAAAGGAAATTCTGACAATATTTATTTAGAGAACAATTAGTGAAAGGAAATAATCTAATTTCAAGGCATAGTTAAGATAATATATCGGTATTTGCACAAAATAACTAGGACAGTAAAAGCCCAGAGTAGGTTGAAAAAGGATTTTCATATAGTTTTACGAAAGGTCGATGGAAATTAATGATAGTGGACTACACGAGGGTTCTGAACATAGGCTGGAATTTTGACCTTGGCGTCCCATCAACATAAACATTTCGCTAATAAGTTGTTTGTGTTTATCAAACGATAGCAACTTGTCAAAAAATGCATCGATGAAATATAGTCAAGGAATTTATATTCTGAGTCTTCAATTGGACAGTTACCAATACATAAAGGAATAATTATTAATGTACGAGATGAAAGGAAATATTAAGCATACCTCCACCAAATGCCACTTGTGCAGTACTTGCAAGCTGATTGCTTTTGTGGTTGTTCACGAGGTGGATCATCATCTTTAGGCGCCCCTTCATTCGCAATGAGATCAGTGTGCCAACAGAAGTCATTTACAGCTGTAACCGTTCCGAGATTACACACAAGGACATTCTCGCTTTCAGTTGAGATGGGAAACAACACAATTGGAGCATTCGCTTTGATATTAAGCCTTAATCGCATGGAGATTGCTGCACCTTGACGAACCTATAAGATCACAAAGGGGGGGGGTAAATTGATGGATAAAATAACATTAGCAAACATGTACAAGAAAATATTATTACTGAGAGGAGAAACTATAGCATTGAATTACTAGTTCAGTTGTCTGAATGAGAAATCGTTGTAAAGGCGTCAAAAATCTCAACTAAGTCGTAGAAGAAATCATGAATGACACGCAATCAATCGATATTTTTCCTTATGGATGAAATTTCGATAAAAGTAGTAATTTTATTGAGAGAAAGCATACTAGGACCTTAAAATACTCTGAATCTAATTGCACGTGAACTTTCATCGTAGCAGTGAAAGCCCGATGACTTACAGGTAATCCATAATTGGATTCTTGAAATAGTACAATCAAGAGAGAAGCATTTGCGAAAATTAAGTAATTCGGTAAAGAAATTAATGGCTAGGCATAGCAAGCACACTTCCCATAGACATATAGAATAGTATTCAACACATCAGCAATTTCTTAATGCAAACATATCAATAAGAATTGTGTACTCAACTTATAACCTTCGGATGAAGCTCTAACCCTATTCATGAGGTCCTGGTATTGTTGAAATCTATCTAAAGTATCTATAGCAGTTGTAAGGAACTCTTGAGTGTGAATGTAGTACGCGGGACCCAACTGAAGCTCCAATATTCCATCCTCGGATCTGCGATTAACTTCCGCATCAGGAAGTTGGTACTTTGTCAGCGCGAAAATGAGATAATCACCCTCTCCATTTTTACCATCGACAGAGTTTGTAAGAAAACGTCGAGAGTATAGACGACTCCCTTTTGCTGTTAGATCATGTACAGATATCGCAGCTAAATTCCCAGCAAGATGCATCCAATCACCACCAGCTTCGATCGAACGACGGTAATTGGTCAAGCAAACTCGTAGTTGGCTGGCAGAGGCCCGAAGAAGTGGGGAAGCCTCAGATGAAACAGTATCGAGGAGAAGGGAGAAAGTGGAGACACTGAGACTTGTCAATGTCACCATATCTCGGCACAAATCTTCATTCGAGAGATGCTCACTGGTATCTAAATAAATAGAGAATTATTGATATACTAATTAGATGAAAACCTAAGTAAACTTTTTAAACTAACCAGAATTTGAAAGACAAGTAGATCTGCTGGCAACTGAAGTACTGTCGAAGTCATCACATGCAGTGATAGGAGACCCGAGGCCAAGAAAATCCAGAAGCAACACCCAGGGATGTAGACTGAGGTAGCAAGTTAGAGATGAGAAAGCCACATCTACGAATCGACTAGTCTAAATGAGGGAAAATAATATCAGGCTAACATTACAGTTTTGAGTAATTAAACAATGTCAGCCATTTGATGAGAATAAAGTGATAAGAAATAAACTATATGATCGAATCGAGACACACTAGACATCATTCGATATATGGATTAACAAAAAAATTAATAGACAGCGACATACAAGTGCCTTTAGCAAACTCACAAATGGAAAAATAAACAGTTCACAAGAAGGAGGAAATCGATGGCCTAACCAAAACAAAGAAATGTAAAGAACAGTTTTTCATCAGCCAATAGGGGGCTATTAAGGCGCTAAAAATATTACCCCCCACCCTTTCAACATAGCTAACAGAATCTGAAAGATTAAAGTCAAGGAAGTAAGTTCAAAGGAATTTTGAACCTCTCAATATAGAAAGAAGACGCAATGGCTCTCGGGATAACACCCAAATAGATAAAAGATTGGCTCCACAAAATCACATTTTTTATTCCCACACTCACAGCAAGCATTTATGCATTTAAAGAGACTAAACGAGTCAAACAAATACTCATCAGTCAACTAAAGGGACAAACGATTAGAGACTTAATTTATTACTTTTTTAGACTTATTCGATCTCAAATGGTTGAATTCATTACAGTAAGAAATACTGATTTGTGAACATAGTGATATTGACCATCATTTTAGCTTACCGATCGGTATTTCGAATTAAACAGAGGATTATTCTTATCCACAATAAGGACACGAAGCTTGACAAACTGATCCATGCTGTTTGAATCGATTTCGCTTCCTCCAGATCCTCGGTTCCCTTGACCACTTTCAGTTGAACTATGTCGCTAGAAGGAACAAAAACGCAAAAATATGAGTCACATCTAACGAGCGTATTGTAAAATTGATTGAGAGACTAACTGCGCTTTTATTTGTTCGAGAACGACCACCATGTTTTTCACTGAAGCTAAGACTAGGCCGATTCCATTTCCTAGAATGTCTACCATAGAGACTGTCGAGAAATGAAGGTTGGCAATCGTTTTTGCTAAGAATTGGACAGGAATCAACTCTTGGGCGTCTACGACAAGTAACAACTTCTGATTTTTTGGGCAAGTGAGAAAAAAGTAGATATCGATTTTCTTCCTTATAATCTACAAGGCAAGTATGCAAATACGAACGAGGTGCAAAGAGATGAAATAACAGACAATATGTGGTAGGGACAAACCAGGTAATAGATTTTCAAGAAGAAGTGATGCTATCGTGGCTTCAATGTGAGTCAACCCAACAGGGCCTCTCATGGAAGCAGCAATAAAGAATTCGGAAAGAGTAAATCTAGTGAGTCCAAGTGAACGTCGTTCGCCACTCATTTCCGTGAAAGTTTCCACAACAAGACGAGGCATTCGGAAACGCATTGCTAAACATTGCGATGATGTAGAAACGCCAGATGCAGTGTCCGTCGACGTGCAATCTGATTCACTTACTTCTTCAGAATGAGTAGTTTTTATTAAAGTCTCTCCTGAGTATGCCAAATTATCTAATGTCTGTAGCAATTGGCAGTACACTTTTTTAGATAAACGAACATGGAGTGGCTGGGTAAGGCAGACCGAAACAGTTAACCATGACTCAGATGCACTTTCTGAATTTGTTCGCACTTCTGAAATAACCTCTTCGTTGAAAGGAAATACCAATTCAGAAGAATCGAAATCCTCTGGCCAGGAAATTGGCTGCGAATTCGTCTCGTTTTCGGAGTGTTTGTGGAGAACTTCACGCTTCAACTGAAATAAAGATAATTGTAAATACTGAAAGTTAATCAAACGATATTTAGATTTAAGGTAAGATTAATTAAGGGACTCGTAAAGCTGATCCTCTCTCTCTCTCTCTTCAAATTTTGCCACTAGGACCTGCCTACACACTGAATATGGCTGAGCTACAGTTTCTACGACCAAAGAAGAAATTGACGCGATGCAGATGTTTTCCAAGACTGTACACGAATTAATACAGGTTGTTTTCGAGTTATTGTGGGTTGGAATTCTAAGCAATGCCGGAGAGGTAAAATTGTATCAATAAATACAAAACTGCTAGGAGCGAAGGCTCCTCGTGTAACATGGAGATAACCTGCAAGAGTCGCTCATCCTGACCTCGTCTTTGAGCTTTATTCCCTCAGCTTCCTAAGGCGTATGCTAGGACATTGAAGAGAAGCTTCTTGAACGAAAATACTTGCATATATTAATGACTTGTGAGGAGCTTATTCAATAGGTAAATAAGAAAAGATATAGTTAGGGGTTACCAAAATGAAGACAGCACATTTTGGAACATCATCAAGCTTTCATGAAACTAATTCAAAGAGGTTTCATAAAAAGCATTGAATGAGATCAAGCAAGATAAAAAGAATAATGAAAACGAATTTTAAAGAGTGCCTACCAATAAATCAGCAGAAATATCTTCAAGAACACAGTGCTCTTCAATTGAAGGAATTAGTCGAAGATAGTGAGCAAGTATTAACATGGCCTGAACAACTTCTGAAGTTCCCCTCACACGTGGAACTCCAACTTTAATATCAAATGCAGCCAACGAGGCTCGAGAAATAATTAATTGGACCATGCTGAGTGGAGAATTTAGCTCAGAGTTGTCACTTCGTAGTGTCAATCGACCAAGTCGACCTATTAGAACCTTGGGAGAAGTGGGGCCAGCAGGAAAGACAACAACAGGCTGTTCAAAAACTGCGTGAAGAGAAGTCAGGCTGGATGTGGTCTTCGATTTCTCCTTTTGTCGTTTCAAATTCTCCACTGACATCGCAGAGTCAGCTATTTTACGAGCAAGAGCGTCAACAACGACATTCCAGCGGTAGAGATTGGATAACCACGAGGAGATCTCGTGCAATGCTCGGGGATTGTGAACGTAGACTGGGCTAGTAACGTCCAACTAAGAGAAATGCAGCATTTTAGAGCTTAAGAATAAACAGTGATATTGTGCACTTTAGTTGATTGGACGATTTCTTACCTCCACATGATACCCCGCAGTAGGCTGTCGATGAGCAATGAGACTGAAGACAGATTTAGCTCCAGACCATGTGAGAGCTACGTCGGAGATTTCGGGATCAAGGCAACGACCCGCAACAAATATGTGGCGGTGTCGAACACCACTACTTGAAGGCTTTTCAACGTCAATCAGATCCAGAACTTGAAGACCTGCAAGGCTTACTCGCAAATCTTTGTAATCTACAAGAGTTGGTTGCAGTAAAGTAGATCAAATTGTTTAATACGGAAGCAACCGTATTTCAAAAAATTTATATTTATCAAGCTAATAAGAATAGCCTTTATTTCTAGTTTGATTCGACGTCGCAAAAAAGATATTTCAATAACTTATTTTAGTTATGTATGTCTATTACAAACAATTCTCAAAAGGGCTATTTATCAACTAATACAAGACATATAGACTGCCACTAAGAGTATAGAGGCTTCTAGAGTCGAAGATAATCACCCCATTCTATAAATACCACAAATGAAACGATTTATTACAGTGAGAGCATAACTCACTTTCACGAGACTGGAAATTGGCACCAAGAAGGGTGATTGTGGCCAAACGCTCAGCAGAAGCCGTCTTTAATCGTTCGTTCCCGAAACATTCTTCCGCATTTTCATCCGCGTTTGGCATTTTAACACGAATTAGCACAAGACTGAGTCGCTCGACACTGATTGACATTTCAAGATTTTCACTACTACTAGTTTCGTCATCACTGCTCGTTGCATTTTCAACGTCAACAGTTTTGTTTGAGGATTTCGTAGTTCCTGAGGATTTGTTTTCAGATTCAGAATAAGGCACAACATAGCGAACAAAGGAGATCAGTTCGATCAGTGTGTTTAAATTGCCTAAAAAGCAAGATCGAAGTTAGAAGTAGAACTTAAACACAAAAAAATCATCAGATCTTTACATTATTGGACAGATCGCTATTCATAGATATTGATGGCCTATCAAGCTGATTGATTCTAGCCTATAGGGTAGACAGCAGAATAGAAATTCATTTAAAAAGCAACAATAATCAATTGAGTGCTTTTAAAATTCACCAAACTTTCATTTAGGTTCAACAGTTGAATTCCATTTATGTTCCAGTTATTTACAATTCTAGACCCCCCCCCCCACTCCCCTCGATAACACATATATTCAGCGCGTGATAAAACAAGGTGAACAACATTCAATGAGTGATTACATATTCTAGTTCCTTGCTAATTCAACGCACATGCAACAGAATTTCAAAAGCTGGTAGAGAAACAATTTTACATTGTAAGAAAAGAGAGCAAAAAACGGATAGTCACAAAGTGGTGTATAAAAAGTGGCCTACCAAGGAGATCTAAATGACGAAACTTGACGTCAATATTTCGATTCAATTTCTTCGCGGTCTTTGTCTGCAAATACTTTACCCGAATCAGAGCAGTAGAGGCATCTACATTAAATAAAAAAGGTTCGTCCTTATTCTATGATTGAAATGGAGAAGTACATAACTCAGCATCGAATTACTCACCTTCATCACATTCCCCTTCAATTGGATCGTAGAAGGGACGGGAAACAACAATTCTGCCTGATGTTTTATTTCCACTGCTACTTACTGAATGATAGAGAGGAGGTGTACCGTTTCTGCCGCTTGGACTTGTGACACTTAAACTACCGGATAGGGTATCCAATCTAATAAAATTAAGTTCACAAATTTTAGAATTCGAATTGCATTTTAATACATCCGTTTCGAGATTAAGAATAAGAAACATTCTGCATACCAGAAAAGTTTGATGTCTAAGTGAATTTCAAAGTGAGATAGAGAGTAACAAGATTATTTAAATTAAGCAATCACAGAATTTATAGAATTTAGAAAAAATTATTTCACAACTACTAGTTCATATCCTACTTATTTTATACTTTTAACTCTCTTCATGCTGTCTTAAATTGGTGGCAAATGAGAGCTATACATCTAAATCTAGCACAATATAAAACAAAGAAGATCAATATGATTCCGTGGAAATTAGCTCGAAACCTATCAAGAGTGCTAAAAATAACTCCAACATCTTTCACTATTCGATTGAATGACCATTAAGTTAATGAATAGAGGGTCTATGAGCCTCAAAATTTGAAATTGTGAGATATTAAGGACGACTATTTTAGCAAACAAAATATTTCACCCACCGAACGTCACGATGTGAAGCAGCAAGAAGATCGAAATCACCACCCAGTCCACAAAGAGCATCTGCTACAGTGAGACTATGAACCTGCAGACAAACATCATAAGTGGTCTTTGAATGTTCTGAATTTGTAAACCTATTGAATCTGGCTGCCGTTGATACCAGTCTGAATTCAGCTAGAGGTCGACCTCTTGCGTCAAGCTGAAGGATTAACTCCTGCATGCTGAAGGTAACAACAATTGTTCGACGAAGTTTTGAAGGTGATTTAGTAGCTAGTCCTTTAAAACGTAGAGAATGATTCATGACAAGACTAGAGCGAGGAGGAGATTCCATAGACTCTATAGCTTGATCAGAAGATTCGCTTATCTCATCAGATGTCGAAGACGCAATAGAAGTAACTGCTCCAACACAACGACAAAGAGCAGAGAGACGAGAGTCAGAAAGACGCAAAACACAATGCCTCTGCTCAACGCAGATTAAGAGGCCAGGAAGATCGGCTGGAATTGTGGGAGGAGGCGAAGGAAGTGTTGAATTAGCAGCTCGAAGAGAAGCCATAGAAACCACCCGGCGGGTGATCCATATGGCTAGGCTAAAACGATCCACAAGATTGACTTGAGAGGCAATTTGAGTTATGCGAAGACCGTCTTCTAGAAAGATACAGTCATCTTTAAGTTCAAATTTTCAGAATGAAATGACAGGAAAAACAATTTTAATCACCGATATTGAAGGATGAGTGAGATGGAAGGAGATCTGGCCAAAGTCCAGATACCTGGAGTTCATCAAGTCTGCCAGCGAGAATGCGGAATTCATCTAGTTCTAGAAGGTAAGTTTCGTAGAGGCGATGCTGACGATTTCGCTTAAGGCGGCGGCGACGTGCAGAGCCTTGATGCAGTGGGCTACCAAGTTAATAAGGAGTTCGATGGTTATTTTAAATTTCTTTTTGAATTCAAATCAAAATTTTACCAAACTTACGAAGGTTCTAAATCGGAACCATCAGGCGTACCACAAGGAGTTGCAAAAGCTTCTGATTCTTCGCTATCTTCTGAAGCATTGTTAGTCATTGGATCCTTTTCTTTGTTTATTGGTTGTGCCTAAAAATGTGCTTATTTTTTCGAGATGTGTCAAAGATGTTCAAGCAGGATGAAGTTTCTTTACAAGTTTAAATGCCTCTTAATTTAGACTATGAAGATAGAAAAAGACTGGGACGTACATAAATCATGGAAATTATAGTCACTGTTCAATATGCTCAATCCAAACTTAAAACAATTCCACACGAAATAAAGAATTAAAAATGGAGATCTTCGTCACCACAAACTCATACAAATAAGTATCGTAAAGGCCAAATTCTCACACAAAAGACTCGCGAATACCACCTGGCAAAGGTGAATAAACTTCTCAGTGATGTGAAACATTTTGCTGGAGCACAAACAATCCGACGAGAACAAATTTTGTCTAGATTAAAAGAACAATATGCAGACCAACAGAAGGCTTGTCATGCATACAGTCCAAAGGACAATCCCCCGGTCAGGCACACCAAATTTCCAGGAGCTAGCATGATTTTTTAAATGTGTATCCCTCACCGCTGACGTGATGTGATGTTTCCAATCGCATGTCACTCAAGAGGGGCATAGGTTTAATTCAGATACCCATGTGGAATTGCCAGTCTTTTTAACCAATAATCCCTGGATAACAAACAAGGCTAGGCGATGTTAGGTCATATGTTTGGCGACAGCAGAATCAATTAAGCTAACACACCTTGGGGGAAAAATGCAAAATGATTATAAGCCAACTTTTACAACTCCTTCAGACCCTGATGTTTAGCATCCGAATTGCCACACCCCACATTTTAACTAGATTAGCCATTATAAAAGTGAACTGGGTGTTGACTGGACAGGCATTAATCAATACTCCAGCACTCTAAAAGCCAGCTAGTTACTGAACAGAATGAAAACGGTTTTGGAAACCTTTCCAAAGAAGAGTTCACAATCAGCCTACTCCAGACTTCAGGAAGAGAACATGACCGGATTGAGGCTATATGTGCATTATCGGTTAATTAACTCACTCAGAGAGCACATTATTTTATCCATGTGTGTTACCACATTGGATTAATTTTAAGTGCTCATTTTAAAGTGCTTCAATTACTGTAAATCGTAACCTAGAGCCAGACTGTAAAATTAACACCTCTCTATTAACACTTTGGGTATCTTAGCAACCAATAAGTTATGATTGGTGACATTTAAAAGTTGACAATCTCCGAAAATTCGCATGATTATTGGAAATTATCAACTAAAAGGTTTGCACTTAAGTTCAAGAATATAAAAATAAATCTTACATGCTGATCGGATAAAGACGAAACTTTGACAATATTTCCTTCCTTTTCTTCAGTCGGTTCCCAATTCGATAGCCTAAAGCGTCCAAGATCGCAAATAACTCCAAGCAGATGCGGTGTTGGGTTAGATTCTTCACCAGAGGCAGGCCAAAGACGTTCAGGTAGAAGAATTCGTGGAGCTGCAATATCTAGATGAACGCAAAGTCCACTAGGTCTTGCACCCATAGCAATTGATCCTGAAGAAAGGTGCTTGGAACTTGAGGGATCGGAAGATACTGATTTTGAAGGGATATAAGAAGATACTGCTAGAGGGCTTTCTTCGTCGACCTTTTCAACGGTATGTAGTGCCGCTCGAAGATTCGCCTTGGTTTGGGATTTGAGCGTGTTATAAGCACTAGAATCAGCTGCAATGTCAAAAATACACAATTAAGCCAAGGAAGTTTTAAGTGGAGTGAATTTGGACTTACCTCGAGTACGTTGGCTAGACTTAGGTTTGGAAGCAGAGGAAAGGAAGCGCATGACATATAGGAAGAGCTCAGGTTGGCAGATAACTCGAAGAGGATCTGTGCGAATGTTCAAGCTATTTTCGATGGAGATAAAATATAACGCAATGTTAGGGAATAAATAGTCGTAAAGGTTCTCAGAAATTATAGACCACTAATGAACATTTAAAATAATCCCATTACGATTAAAATATGTCAAACTAAATCTATATGAAGAAGAACATACACTCTATCATCTTGGAAAAATTATTGGTACCATTGAGCCTTTATGGTAAGGAAATTAAAGAGTGGTTGTTGGTGTTGGGGATCAAACACACAAAAGCATTCATTGGTATATACATCTAACATAGATCAGCAATTTTGATAATTGAATGAGATTTTCGCATTACGGATTTTTAGATTACAGACAGAGAACTGGCACCTAAAGAGTCCCTTTTTAATATTAAAAATGTCACTGAATTTGTGTGGATCCACACTGCGGTACTTGTTTCTACCAACAGATGGGTAAAACTTTACAAAACGAAAGCGAGGACGTTCTTATATTTGGTAAGGGGATAACATTACTTTATAAAGGAATCAGTAGAGAGGAATAAAATATGAACATTTATCTCCACAACATGAAAACAAAACTGGAGAAATTAGTAGCACAAACCTTGCGGGAGGATTTGAATTCAAATTCGGGTCATTATCAGACCGCGATGTGATATAATCCAAACGAAATAGATCACTTTTTGTAGGAGAGGAAGACTCCAAGACAGTTTGTGGTAAGGGTGATATAACGTTGGGGAAGAGTGGTAATTGATTACGGCCCTGACTATCCACCCGAGAGCGATCATCCCTGAGCAGAAGAGAGTGAAGACGAGCATTGAAGTGCAATGATTCCTCTCGCGGTCTGGTCTCAACACGTAACTGTAGGTTGTCTGCATGCAGGCTGCAAACATTCTGACGGAAATTAAAATTGAATTTAACCAATGAAGATGCAGAATGATAGAAAAATCGGTATGGGATTATACTTACTAGATTAGCATCTTCCATCAAGCAGAGTTGGAATTGATCCACTCGAGCAGTAATCCGACAAAAGAGACGGTCACGCGTGAGAACCTGGCCAACATCTCTAGCCGCCACAAGTTCATTTAAGAGCATAAGAGCTGCTTCAGAAGAACTAGGAGAGGCTTCTGCTTGAAGATCTGAGGCCTCAGAGATATCACCCTTAGTGACAGCAGCAGGAGCTGCTGAGAACCACCACCAGAGACGCCAGGGCTTTGGAGCTTCAGCTTCATCTGGTGACTTTGGTTCAGTGGATTCTGTAGTAGAGGAAGACGATAGGAAAGAAGGCCACCAAGATTGAGATGGTTGAGTAGGAACAGTTGGAGATTGATCTTGAACCTCCTTATTCTGCATGAAAAATAGGATTCTTATTAATAAACAGTAGAAGTTTAGTCGTTTCATTTTCTACTTACGTTAAACTGGCACTGTAATTCACAATTTTTCAGCTCTATCACGATATAAACATTTTGCAGATTACTGTCAATTTCTAATTCTGAAAAGAGCATTAGCTGAAAAAGCTTTTTGTCTTATACTGATAATTCTTGAACCCAAATCCTCTTGTCAACAGTCTTCAACATGGCAAATACGGAATCAGTATCTATCAAACTACATCTCAAAGTAAGAAGCGAAAAATATGTGAAAAATATTAGGTGGTGAATGTCTAAATTTAAATTACGGTGGTGCAATAGAGTTCGGTCTTTGAAAGGACGCAAAGCATTACACAATCCAAAACGACATGACTATTATTAGTGAAGGCAGCCTCAATGACTATCACTATGCAAAAATTTTAACGAGGAAAAAAGAGCAAAGGTATGGCAGATGCTACAACAGTCAACAAGCTTCATTTTCAAGTCAGATTTCTCGTCAATTCAAGAAAACGTGATGTAAAATCTCTGCAAGAATTCTGTTGTGTTTCCGAATGGGCGGTTGATTAGAAGAAGTTAGGGAAGACAATCACAATAACACTGAAGAATTCCCTTTTTCTGCTAGAAATGAAATGTGCATAAATGCAGACGAAAATTGCAAACTACCCCATTAATGAAATTTCACTTTCAATAGTCTTAAAAACCAAGTTTTAAAAAGGTAGACAAAATCCAAGCAGATTGTCTTTCATTACTAACGCAAACCGATCGTGCTTATATTAACCAAATCGATTAAATCGCACTACGACAGACCTTATTCAACGAGAATGAAATAAAAAAACAATAAGATAAAATTCCATGGGGGAAGTTAGAGGAAATGTAAGAAATCGCCTCGCGATTGCAGAATATTACAATCCGAATTGGCATAATTTTAAGAGAAATGTCAACTACACTTTCTTATGAGGAAATAAAAATAATAAAGGAAAGAAGAGATGGGAACTAAATGAAAGGAATTCGTGCATAAAACCGCTGGAAAAAACGCCACCCTAATTCAATTATAATTTACTGCCTATGTCACCACTGCTATATGAAAATTGAGAACTACACAGTAAATAATGAACTGTAAAAGCTTAAAACTGTCAAGAGAATACCACAAAAGCCAACAATTGTTAGAATGCATTCAAGGAACCATTGAGAAGAAAAGACAATTAGTTTCGAATGAATCATTTAGATAACTTAAATAAATCCACAAAATAACAAACAAATGGCTGCACCAAACCGATTTGAATAATTAGAAGGAAAAATATATAGAGGGCAGATTATGTTTCTCTTGCTCAATGGTACAATGGTTAAACGCACAATCTGCAAAGCCAGCAAGAACGGGAAATATCAATCAAGAACAATAAAAATATAAAATAACGTAAATCGTTGTACTAGATTTTTTAAAAAAATATTACACCTTTAAGGTTTCAAATTATTAGAATTTAGCAATATTGAGAAAAATAAAACGCGAAAAAAACAAAATTGCGCAATAAATATCGGTAATACAAACCAAAGTGGGTCGACGTTGTTTCAACAATCTAGCAGCTCGTTGCATAGCAACTTGACGAAGCAAAGTCACTCGATCGAGTGACATAGACTTCTCTATCTCCTGATGCTCAACACCGATGCTAACTAAATCATCTTCATCCGGGAGTCCGAGACCTCGCAAAAGGTGAGCTTGATAGGCCCGAACATATTGATTATTTTGCGTTGCTGCCTCTGCCAGGTACTGCAAGCCAAGGTCAGAAGGCCATTGTGTGTGATAGCGACGTAAAGCTGGAACTACTTCGCCAGCCGCATATCTCCACCAGGCTGCGGGTCTAGAAGTAAATAGAGAAAGAAAATAGGGTTAAAACCACATATGCCATAGGAACCATCTTTACTGGTTGTACGAAGCGTTTGATGGAAATAGAATTAGAATGGAATGATATAAGGAGGATAGCCCAAAAACACTTTCGTTAAATTGGAGAAAATTATAACTTAGAAAGAGGTCAAGGCACACATTTCTTACACCCCATTGGTCCGTTGTAAAGCAAGTCATCCGTTCGATGTAATTTAGACAAACAATAGACTTGATAATAAAAAAAGACTAAAAATATTCAACTTATATAGGACCAAACTGAAATAGTAGTAAATAATCATAAACTCCAAGGACAATTTTGTGGGAACGATCTCAAATTGGACAAAAAATAGACGAGAAGGAGTATCACTGATAAGAACTTCTACTCATTTTAGAAAAAATTGAATTCTCACTGTTGATTAGGTCTAGTTTTGGGTCGATGCGGAGGGATAGCCTTCTGTTTGAGAAAATCTGTTAGTTGATGAGCGTATGCAAGCACTCCAAGGGAGAAGTCGACGCGGAGAGATGTTAATTGAGCTTCTACTTCAATTCGTGGAGTCGTCTCACTAGTGAGAGGCTCTGGAGTGGATCTACGTAGAAGATGGACGGAGAACTGGCTTGGTGGGATGAGGAAGCGCTCTTGGGGGACGGATAATGAATCATGAGCTGGTATGTCATAATAGTATACAGAGAGACCCACCACATCAATAGACTTGAATTCGATTTGCTGGTTAGAGGAACGGCCTGATGGATTCTGTAATGATGAAATGAAAATAATTAATAAAAGTACGCGATTACTCACACCGCTGCTGAGCCTATTTGTAAGTGTTTATTGGCATAAAACTTATGTGGTATTAGATCTTCGAATATCAGTGGTCGAGTTTGAATACTCCCTATAACAACTAATTTTGATTAAACTGCATTCATTCTAGCTCGAGAGAACCAACATCAATTAGCAGGTGGAATTAAACAAGGGAGTTTAAAAGAGAAAACAAGCTTGAAATCTAGAAATATAAACGACCAATGAGTAGTTATAGTAGCAAAAAGTTAGCTTATCGTCTTAAGGCAGAAAACATTATTAGAAAATTGGATAAAATCTATGGAGCGAAAAAGGAAAACATGAAAATGTTTGCCGAAATTATGGGCATTTTAATATTAAATTGCGGTAGTAATTGCATAACATTTCAATAGAAGCTACGGTCGCATGGAAGCAATAGAACTGGATTTTAACTAATGAAGTCATTTGACTGGCAAAATATTTAGTAAATGACCAACCGATTGGGTAAATAAATAATAGTACACGTATGTAAAAAAACATTTAAAAGAAAACAATTTTTGTGAGAAAATTCAATTACATAATGAACACGAAGCATTAATTTTGCCCCAGTATGGTAGGAAAATCACATCGTAAAAAAACAAGGTTCCTTAGTACGAAGCATAATAGTAAACAACACTTCGTTTATTGAAATTCGCGTAAGTAGAACCCTTGATAAATTTCCTTTATCAGTATGCGGGTGTGATTACGTGTCTATATCAATAATATCGTTATGAAATTATTTTATCATTCCCACGTCTGATTTTATTTCCTATTATAAATGACTAAAATGCGTAATGCAACTTTAATACATCCTAATGAAATTGGAAAGTTATCCATTCCATCGTTTAATCAATTCAATAGCATTCTAACTTGTTTTTCTGACTTTATGATAAGCAACTCCAAACTACGCAGATGACAGTGGTCAGCACACGTCAATAAGCTTAGAGGTCACAGGATCTATGATCATTGATTGACATTACTGACGTTAATGGCAAGCCGTTAAATCAGATAAACAAATGAGTTAAAAAATACGAGTTTGTCATAATAGAAGGTACAATATAACACCTGATCAAATTAGCGGATTCAATAACAAAATAAGCTGCTAAGGCACGATTTAAGGCCACATCCGTCGTGAAAAGCATTATCACAAGAGCCAAAAAATGAAGAACTAACACTTGTGGCGTAATGGCAAATAATTAATCGATAAATTTAATTAATTTATGGCATTTGCCACACATACATCTGCCTATAGCTTTATGTATTATTGGTTTAATTTAAACTGATTTTTAGTAAAAAAACTCGATTGATAAAAGGCAATCCTGCACGTGAAATTTTAGATTCGAATAACTAACTCGTACCTAACCTAGAGTTACAGTATATGCCCCAAAATGACATGAATTTACCAAAGAGTACGTTAACTCTATTGCAAAAGTCAATAAAGTAAGACAATAAACTGCGTAGAACTAACCCAAGATTCATCAGTCGCTTGAACTGTCATCTTTGACAGGCGCATTCCCCAAGTTAAGCTCTCTCCAATTATATTTCCATCATCCACAAAAGCAAAGTGCACATTGCGAATCTCAACCTGAAGGTTACTGACAATTCCATAGACAAGAGAGACACCATAAGACCACCACGATGAATCATTAGGAGACGTAGTAACAGCGTCAACCAGCCCACCTTCTCGGACAAGCTGCCACCAACGCGACTCCAGGCGTTGTAAATACGCCTTTCGAGATTCATGTGCGGGTTCTTTAGAGCATCCAGAAGTATTTGAACTGTAAGAATCGCATTCCGTGTTTTGCCGGGCATCGTAGGGATTGATTATAATTTCGGCATCTTCCACAATGATACTCCAGGGCTGAGATCTCAGCTGAGTTAAGGGAATAATTAATTGGACTCGAGCTATACGACCAGAGGAAAGGCGAAGAGGAGTGCCCAGAATGTTGTTAAGAGCATCCGGTTTAAGGCAAAGATCTGTGAGTACAACATTACCAGAGTAGCCAAGGCTATAGGAAAGACGTTCGGTATCAAGATTTTCCACATAATGACCCAGGAAACGTTGGAGAACAGCACTGACTAATCGAACAAGCATTGTTTAGTCACCTGAATAAATGCAGATATTAAACGTAGAATAGACGATAAAATAGACCATAGTAACGAAATACAAAGACGTGTAATAATAAAATTAAATACTAATGTGACGATAAAGCCCCAATATTAACTCAAATTATTTCCCAAATCATATAGTAAGTTATCTGGAAGATTACACTAAAGATAAAAGTGACACTTCTCATTATCTAGCTGTTATTATTCATTTATGGAAAGTGGAAAATTTTGGAAAAAATCAAAATTAATATAAATTATAAGCATGATGACTGTAAGAAAACCTAAATGATAATAACACAATTTTGAAAAGCTAAATTAGCAAAAACTTTGGAGAAATAAACAGAAAATGGAAGAATTTATTGATAAACTTAGATATTTCACCTCTAATTGGTCATACGGATCAAGTTCATAAAATAAGATCTCAGCCTACGTCCTTGAAGCTTGTCAAATGATTTTTCTGCATTAATATATATGATTTTATTATTAATGGATTGGGTATTTTATTTTTATAGATTTTCATATGTTGTAAAATTCACCACACAGGTCACACTTATCTTCTGCGAAAATGATACCAATAATTCAGTTGCTTTTCGTTATTTACGTACTTAACAGCAATATATTTTATATGTTGCTTGACTTCATGACATTTTCGGATGTATGTGAATGCATATCATCGAAAATAATAAACTGAGCAAATATTTGTCTTTAATGTCTATTCATCCACTATTTCAGTTTGGTAAACTTGTTAGAATTATCGTGGCTCATATTTGATTCCTTCACTCCTCTACTCTAACGTTACAGATTAAAATTTCTGACAAGAATTTATGCCTAATAAAATCTAATTTCCAAATTTTATTTAGCTTCATCTTTTGGTTCATTAGTTCGTGATGGCAAAGTTGTTGTTTCGATTGTTATTTCTCATTCAACTTCAAATCCATTTAAGAATTTAAACCTGAACCTGGAGGGGATTACATACTTATATTCAGTAATCTCCATGGCAAGTTCACCTCGTTTGGAAATTCCCCAAAAGCAGGTAGGCTAGCTTGAAGCTATAGTGGATGCAGACTTGTTGCTGAATGCGCTTATCGGGGGTTTGTTATTAGTAGGGATGCCTATCGATCGCGTCCTGTACGTAGGGTAACTTCTGGATTGTTTGCTTTTGTTTCCCGCTGACAGGGATCCTGGCCATTATATACACTTTAGGGTATGGTAATCATGTAATAACTTCGATCATTGATTAACCATGGGATCTCTGAGACTGTGACCTCATATGCGCCTAGACATAATGCGCTTCTATGCTTTTATCATGCTAAAGTTGTGTTCCCCAATACCCACTGATAACTGACATGAGAAATTAAATAGGATTGTCACCATGTCCCACTTTCTTTTAATATGCTAATCACAGTTCCACTGTCTCAAAGCCACAAAGACAAAACTAATATTCTTATTGGGAATGGTCCAATTTAGAATTCTTATTATCTGTGTTTCCGACAGCTTGCTTACCTGGCAACAAACCCACATTTTCCTTTTAAAGTTCTTAGGTTAGTTAGACGCCAAGTACCGATTCACCACAGCGGATTAAATCATTAAATGACGACACAATTGATAAGCTCGACGATTGGGAACAGAAAGGCGCAGCGAGACAAGATATCGACAATTAGGCACGCCTAACATCATACAAGGACACGACTGTTTTTAACATAATTTTTAATATATTAAGTCAGTTTTCCGAAAAATTTTAAGCTACTCCAGCAACTCAGGTAACCAATATTTTAACTTGGATCATGTACTAGAGGAGAAATTTGAATGAAACACAACTAAATGAGCGCCACGTGATAACTCGCCTGTGGTCAAAAATAATTCGATTTAATCATTTAACTGAAGACCCAGCATTTTAGTGGGTCAAAACTTGAAAGTAAAGATTATTTCAATGCAGCTCCAACTTACGTTGAGAAAACTCTGCCAAATTGTCAAGGCCTGAACTCAATTTAAATGTAAAAAAACAAATTAGTTTTCATAAAATTTATTGTATCCCTTTACGAACTACAGAATATAAGTAATCAAGTCTTTTGCACAACACGTGCGCAATTTACTTTCGCCTTTGGCCTCCATTGGCAAAAATTGCCACCATCCTGACGAAAATATTAATGGTGTCCAGAAGTATCTTGATAGAACTAAAAAGAATAAAAAGGAAAAGGGTCCAATGAGGAGTCGTTGAGGTTAACTAGAAGAGGAGGGAAGAAAGCAAATTTCTTGCCAGGGAGACACGATGATGACCCCCCCCCCTGCTCTTTCCAAATAACCATGACATAATACAAGAAGAGAATGCTTACTTGTTGATAGGGTCAAAAGTCGGTACAATGTTGGCAGGAACATCTGCGGGCGATTTGTAGAGATAGGCGATTGGGGGTGGGTGTCGCTCAGCTCGGTTAATGACCACTTGAGTGTCGTAAAGCAGAAAACCGGAGAAGAGAACCAGACCACCATATAAGCTAATTCCGTACAGGCCAGCACCTAAGCGGCCCATTGGTGAAAGGAACATGCTTCCTACAGTATTGATAGAACATGAACTATGCTACATCATAAAGCATTAAGCACCAATGATTAGATTATTTAACAAACACGAAAATCAATCACAGTTCGGTAGAACTGCGCATTATCGCAATCAATAAGCTGAAAAATAGCTGCTACTATCAATTACTCCAAACAGAGATTTTGAATTTTTTTCTTAAATCTCAAATAAGTTAATAATTTCTACGTATGTATTTAATAAGTCAATTTCATTCAAAAACTAGCACCAAGGATGAATTTTTAAGAAGTAATGAGAACTGAGCTTAAAATCACATTTAACGATGGGAGGGGAAATTGAGACTTTAAAATTCCAGCTATTGAACCGCTCTGTTGAAGCATAACTCTGAAGGGTATTGTGCGACAATAGCATCCAGTGTCAGTTCCAATGAGAAGACACCTGTAATTGCTTGAAGTTGCATAATCCAAAATTTAACAGATCAAAGAAAGCATTCATCTCAATTTAAACACGGTTGAAAAAAACTGGACAATACTGGTTTAGAGCCTAGTTTTAAAAAAAAATCAAGAACATTTCATTAACATCACCTATAAAACCACTTGAAAGTTGAAAGTATTCCTTCTAAACGATTAGAAGGACTACCAACGACCCGACCATTTAAGTGCAGATCAAGTTTACAGCAATCAAAACTGCAATAGATTAACGCTTGACACCATTTTTGCGTAATCAGCCATTTGAAGGCTTCAGACCGAAAAGTATTCATAAAGCAATAACGCGATTGTTGAGAAAGCCTATTTTAAAGTGTTCTTACAGATAGTCAGAGATACAAATAAGCTTTATAACCAATAAAATGGTTCGTTTGATTTATAACCTCATTAAATCATCTTAACCTACACATTAGTGGAGACTCTAATGGTCAAGCCGACTGAAAGGCCCGGAGAGGGTTATAAGTCAATTACATGAACGCAGTGTCTTGATTAAAAAGGAATGTGGTCATATGGAAAAATGGCATCTTTCACTCGACCTTTCCACTTTATGCTTCATAATACTTATTTCAATCTTTCACATCTTATAAGCCATTATACCTACTGATAATGTACAGGATTATACAAATATGTAGAAAACATCATCCTTACATTAGCATTAAAAATAGGAGAGATGAAGAGAAAGAGGTTAAATGTGGACAACAAATTCAGAATCAAATCACCACATACCCAAAGAAGAAATAAAGACGACTCCCAGTCCAATAGCGAGGGGTCCTCCCCATTTTAAGAACCGATCGGATGGAGCGGAGACAGCAACAGCAGACAAACCGCCAACAATTCCAGCAGTATAGATGGCTGCACGAGTAAGAATAGGTCCACCAATAAGGCAAATTGGTGCAATCATACCGCCCAAACTGACAGCATAGACTAACCAGGCGGCGTGCTTTGAGTTGAATTTACTATTGTCGACTGGGTAGGGAATTGTCTATGAAGTAAAAGGAAATCTACATTGGCACAAATTTATTAACCCCCAGGAACACTTAGTGAAAGGACAGTTAAGTACTGCGATTATAGCTAATCACAAATAGACAAAAGATTGATGATACAATTCAAGGTGATTTTAAGGTTGCAAATACTGGAGGTTAACAAAAAAAATATAAAATTGAGTAAACACAGAGGATATGCAGAATTGTCAATTTCAGGAGTAACTGTCAGTGTCAATAAGAATAATAGTAGATCCTATGCTCATCCTTTATGAAATATGGTCGAGGAGTTTTATAAATATGTCCAGACTTTAAATATATAAGCATACAAGTCTATCAAGAGAATTACTGACTTAGATATAGATAGATATCATGAACCTATCTGAAGTGCAATAAATAGTACTTAAGAGCAGCCATTTATCTCGGCAATATCACGGGATTACCAGGATGAAAACTAGTTTATTAACTCATCATTATTCTTTGCATTTATGATTAAATAAATATGACATGAACATCAGCTAATAATTGAAGGTACACTACCTGACAGATATAACCAGCTCCGATACTAGCAACGAGCATAGCAATAGGTGCCATCATGCCTCCTCCAGCCATCACACGAATGAAAGTGGGCGAACGAACAAGAGCAGTAGCCGAAGCTGCAGCGATAGCAGCACCACCGGCCAAATAGGCGTAAGTTGAGTGGATGCGTTGGCGCACATAGTCTGGCCAAACAGCAGCACGGTCGATAGCAGAGAGACTGCCAGTTTGGTTGCCACCATAGATACCATATAGACATAAGCCCCCCAAACCAATTGCTGCACCACCGAGAATTAGAGCACGTCCAGAATCAATGGCTATGAAGGAAAATATGAACTTTTAAACGAACTCGTTACTAGGATTTACACATGAACAAGCAAAAGATCTACTATCAGAAAGAAAGAAGATAAAAATATCATAAGTGTGATGATCACATCTCACAATGATTCGACCTGTAATATAAAAAGGCATCGCCTGAACTATTAATCTACTGAAATAATCCAAACAAAAAGTAGTTATAGTAGTGCCATAGTGCTATTCAGAGATAGTCAAAAGGACCTGAGATGGGATAAATACCTTTAAACAAAATGAGTGTTCAGAAGCATGTTCAATTAAATAGTCTGCAACCTATAACAAGACAACACAGGAGGGGGGGGGGGATTATTAATATTAATAAACCATATATAATTTCGATCTTAAGAGAGGAAACATAATGAAAGCATTTTATAAACATAACAACACAACCGAACAGGTATTTATACAGGAAATGCACTAATTTCAATAAAGAATTAAATTTACTTATTTATCAAGTGCAATTTGATTCTAGAAGGTTCTATTAAGAATATTGGCGGTTTTAACCTATTTTAATGTAAAAGTTTATAAAACGCAGGGACACATTTGGATATTCGATATAAAAGGGATTAAAAAGAACAATATACTTTTCAAGATTAAATTATTGGATAAGAATAGAGTCTGATTTCAATCAGATACATAGAAATAAGATGATAGCAAATAGTAATAAACAGTCGGGCGCCTACTAACTGAGCATAAAATTCATTGAAATTTTAAAACGAATAACTATACTTTGTCAAAATTTCACTATATCATAGAGACACCCAAAAACATGACAAAGGAAAAAGTAAAACATAAAGAGCCATGTAAGCACATATCAGAAAAGTAAATAAGCTAAAGAAGCATAAAAAGAAACATAAATAAACGAAATCTGCGGGTACTATAAAATAAAGAGAAGCATACAAACTGTCTGAGTGCGCATAAACGGTGTACGATTTTCCGTGTGGCGAATTCTTCCACTGCGATTTCGCATTGATGCAAGAAGAGAATTGCCGCTATTAAAATCACGAATAGTCAAGCGAAAAGCATTCGCTTTCGAAAATAAGCAAACATTTTGACGACAGAATGCTGAGACGAAATTCATGAGCATTAATCTAAAATAAATTCAAAACAATATGAGAAAGCGTGCACAAGTTTCGGATCAAATTATTCTGCAAAAGTATCTAGACAAATTAAATGATTCGTAAAAAAAGCCATAGCGCTCCTAAAATATTAATAATTATTTGCTTACTTGTTAATTGATAACAGATATCTCGTAAAACTGACGAACCTAGCTGGTGTGCTATTTTACCTCCCTTTCTTTAGTGCATTTAAAGTAATAAAATAGAAATTTTAAAGTTTTCATTACCAAATTTTGTGATAAGTAAGCTGCTTCATGTCAATGCATGATTTTTTAATTTTATAAATATTGAAATGAAAATTTTTGGAATATTGCACTTTTACTCTAATGTGAACAATTTAATCCAGAAAATGTATTCCCGATTTAATTATTAAGCTGTATTTGTGCAATAAGGACGGCTCAGTGAATATTTATTCATGCAGTACGCTGTTATAATGCGAATCCCGAATCTTTTATACAACTTTAATAAAATCGTATTCTCCGTTAATTCTTTTTATTTTCTGTTTAATAAATAGGAGCAAATAATCGCCCTGCCCTTTCCCAAAAATACTATTTCCGCATTCTAGCATGGAGTAGGCCTTAACGTACAATTTCCGACATGAGTGACTTGGTATTTTTTTCCCATCTAACCCCGTCTAAAAACTACTTTGTAACAAAAAAGTTACATACAATACTTTTCAATACGATATTAATCCATTTGGATTTAATTATAAGCTATATTTATTGATTGACGGTTGTAATTGAAATCCCAGCGATACGTAGTCGATAAATTGAAGCCTAATATTGCTCTATTTATACATTATTTCAGCATGAGAAGTTCTCACGGGTTGCTTCAAAGTCCTTGCTATCTTTATCTTATTTCTCACTCATGAAATTCAAAACAACTTGTCAGTTACTACTTTGACCTGTCACCATCATTTAGGCGACTTGTATTTATTTATATAAATATTTGATTAGTTGAAGAAAGATTTTTGGAATGGTTATATTTCTGTGTTGTTTCACATCCTCTCATCTGCTGTGCTTATTTCAGATATAAAAAGTCATCCATGATTTTTTAGTTAAAGTCAGTTTAATTATTCCAATGTATTATACTATGAATTTTGCAATTGGAAAATTCGATGAACATTTTTTTAGATTTTACTTTTTTGTTGCAGTCGCAAATGAAGTAGTGTTCTAGAGAGAATGCAATTATCCAAGTTTGGGCAGTACGATAAAGGGATTGAGTATGTAGCAGCTTACTTTACCAGTAAAGCCTTGACTGACTCAGAAGTCTCTATGGCTGAATCACCTATATCTGGCTAGACTCCAAGAACTAGCTAAGCTACAGCTACAGAGGAAACAAACATATCGCACGTAACACGTTTATTTAGGAAGTGTAATTTGGTAAAAGTGTATACGCCGTAAGGCTAATCATAATCAATATGGCGGATTCACTTGAAAAAACGAAGGCTTCTGATTGGTCATTGGTTGTGGGCGCGTGCGATCACGTGTTAGGCGATGACGTGTCCCACAAGTATATTAAGAGGTAGTAGCGTTGAGGGTAGATGGGCCGTTTGATGAAGTACAGACTATTGGCGACACTGTGATCAATAAATCTGAAAGGAGTGTTTGATTTCGTAAGTTAATACTATGTTATGATATACACCTTCTGATTGAATTCAAGAGAAATAACGGCATCGGCCCATATTTGTCTCATTTTTGGATAATTCAAAATATCTCAAACTGGATGAAGGCATTTGTGATAGTAGGATCATGTGGTTCTAATTCTCACCTCTTCTGGTCGTTTGAACTTATACATGCCACATAATCTGTCATCTACAAAAGATTTAAAAACCTAAAGCTAAATAACCTATAAATAGGGAATGCCTCCAACACAGGTGGCTTTTGCTGACAACTTACTCAAAAGAAAAAGCTCTCTTCTCTACCTAGGGGTGGAATGAGCTTTAGGGGAGGTTCTATTACATTTCAACTTCAGATATAGTGGTCGTAATAGCAGTAATGAACTAATGATGAAAATAGGACGATGGTACGCAAAAACTGAAAGTAAAGACCATTATATGCTCTAGACCTTACTTGAAGTTGGATTTGTGATAGTCTGACTTCTCTACTTATTCACCTGTGTTACTCTTCACATTTCTAAACCCAAGATATTCGTTTGTTGTTCTCAATATTTATCTATTTTTACAAATAATAACAAGTCATTAAATCATTCAATTAGGCAGATGAGACCCCCATCTATTTTTGGAATATTTCTATCATTTTATTTTGATTAGTCCTGGTACCTAGGTATGATAAGGTTAATTTTTTCAATATATTTTTGTTTCTCTTATGATGACATCATTAATTATCATTTTTACCTATGAAAAGGTGGTAGGATGCCAAATCGATTGTTATTATTAGTGTTTGATCGTTTGTACACTGCATTCGTAAGACCATAATGTATGTACTAAGCTATCTTTTTTCGACTACTATGCTTAGACTTGGACATGTACGAACGCCAGTGAAGAAACCATCGCTTCCAATATTGGTCAACCAAAAAGACAATCATTTATTGCACACTCAGTTTTATAAAAGTGCCATTTTCCCCCCAAAATAATCCACATAGATTTCCAACAAGATGTGGACTATTACAACTAACTTCCTGTACAGTCCTTAAGACTAAATTGCTCGGAAATTAGCCGAACAACTTTTAAAGTAGCACAAACACCAAAGATGTAACATGGGGAAACTCACTTCAAAATTGAGCACAGTTAACGCTGCACGCACACATATTGATCGGTGATTGACTAGGACACCTCTGCGCCCACATCAGCACTACCTCGATATGAAATATACTCGATCATTTTATCCGGAATGTTCAAGCGTGTTTGGGTTACCTCTGGTTAGCAAAAGTTATATTTTACACTTCACTTTTATATTCGAACACTTGTGAGGTATAGTTCTGAGGTACGCTTAAAATATTTTTGACGATCCAGAGATGATAAATTTTCAAGTTTCGTTATACATATGCTTTAATGCCTTAGAAATTCCACCTCCGGTAATGAACTACCTGTTAAAAACTTGAAAAGACCTCTTTTACGCAGAGTTTTACTTGTAACAACCACAAATAGCAGCTTTGAGCCATACTTTTGACTTTCAACGTTGAGAGATCCGAGGATAGTGACTTTATGATCCTCTTCTATGGTCATTTACTCCAACCTTTATGCTTAGTAGCTTAATACATTTCATTTTGCAGTAATAACTCATAGCGTTACTACAAAATTTGGATTACAGAACATAGCCTCGCAGGTCCTGAGTGATTTTCAATCATTATGGATGAAAGTAATATGGCTTTTGTCAGTACGAAATAATTATTTTCACAAACAGTGAGCTCCAATTATTAAACCATTTTTTAAGGAATGTGTCTCCATAATGAGTAGTATCGGTCTTAATGTTTTTTTGCATCAAAAGCGATCCAGTTTTAGAAATTACACATTAAGAAATTCCCCTTTTATAACTTAAAGAGGTCATAAATAATATCACAGGCTCCAAACGAAAGACTTTTTCTGAAGCTTATAACGTAACTTAGACATCTCCGTACAACCCAAGAAATATGCCGTAACTAGGTTGCATCAAAGCAATTTCCAATAATTCATAACGCATTAAAGGTCATTAAAAAATTTGAAGGAAGACCAAGTTGATAGATATTATATAATTCCCAGGCATCATGAATTTATAGCGACGTTATTTCTTCCACCTTATTTAATCCATGGCTAGCTTTTGACTATTTTTTTCCGCACTCTATGAGAATGACAATACGATTTTTTCGTACTTTTCCAATTCAAACAAAAATCGATGGTGAAATACACATAATTTACAAATATCTACTCCATAAGTAGTAAAAAATTAATGTGGTACCGAATTGTATACCTATATGTTTTTGCGCACTCCTCTTTCAATTTCAATCATGTTGCAAGAGATTGTGACTCAGTAAACTACCTCAGCATTGATTGCATCTCTCAGCTACGTCCAAGTGCGGTATTCTTTTGCACACCACTACGCTTCTTAGAGCATGCGATTGGTGCACAAAGTGATTTACAAAGTGTACTATCACAGCATAGAGACTGCTAATGTGCTTTTCTCAAGGTCATTAACAAAAGTTGAGTAGCCAGACCGTAACTTACTCATGTCTTCATCGACGAATCTAACTCTATAAGGTGAAAATAGTGTTTTAAATTCTTTTATTTAAGTTCTAATTATTCGAAAAATAAAAACAACACATTCTTCATACTTTTATCTCATTAAAACTTAATCTTCGAACAAATAAATTGATAATTTTCTCAAAAAACTTTTTCATGCAATGGTATTTTCGTTGCTTGCTAGTTGAGTTATCTGGGTTATTATACACTAAAACTGAATAATTATTGATTAATTTTTTTGTTCTCAGGAGTGTTGACAAAACATCATGCGTATTAATCAATTAATTAATTGAATGTTGTAATTTACTGTAAATTCGCCTCCACAAAGTATTAACTTACATGATATTTAGTTTGACTTCTTCCTTTGATGGCTAATTATTTCCCCAATATAAAAGGGCCACATTCAGCAGAATTTTCGAGAAACCTATATATCATTGTCCATCTTTTGGTAAGCACCATTCCTTTGTAAGTCAACTCAACTGGTAAAATTTGAAGAACATCGAAATAGTGGGCCGTTTATGTATTCATAAGTGCATCTGGCTTTAACTGTCAGTATAAACTCATAGATACACCGATGAAATAAATAAATTGATATTGTATTCTGGGTAAACGCAGTTGAGAATTTCTTCCGAAGCACAATGGTCAATCTGTAATGTTCAAAGTTCACATTTCGTCCTTACACATTTCAGAACCCATTCAATGCAATCAACAGGAAACCATCGAAGATCGACTAAATCCTCAGTTAAACAAAACGGAGTCGTCAATTCAACCAATGATCCCATAACTCTCCCTTCCTCTCCAGCCCTAGATGTAAATTTAAGTTCTTTCAGCGAGGAAGAACGAATGGCTATTCTTTCCGTTGTTAAGCGAGATCTTGAAGTACGGCACAAGGAAAAACACAGACTTAAGTAAGAGTCATCATTCATACTCTTTTACTCGATAACTTATAATTGTCCCCCAGCTAAATTATACCCTTTTTCAAAAATTTACTTTCCAGTACTTTATTTGCTTATTTTTTTAAAAAAATGTTAGAAATGTTCAACCTATCTTACTATTCGAGGTTTGCTATTGTTACTAGAAGCATTAATAGAAGGGGAAAATTTTTTTAAAGTAAGAAATTAAAATTTATTTTGTTTCATAGAGCTAATAGATTGGAGAATAGAATTATATCTTTACTTAGGTTCAAGAGTAATCCATATAACTTTCTGAAATAAAAGAAGTGCAAGCATTTTCTAAAAAGTTAAGTAATTGTTTAGTCATGTGTTTCTAGGAAAGCTATGCAAAATTGGTTTTAAAGTTACGAAAACTATTTGCTTTAAATTAGAGGCAAATCGTTTTATGATGTAGTTAAAGTTGGGAATAGGGAAAAAAAATTGCAAGCAGTAACTTCCGAACCTTGACTTGATAAAGGCAATTTTTCGAATTAGTTATGAAAATGGAAATTCAAGTTTGCATACTGTAATATATTTATTTCTATGAAGTTGGAACCTCACCTAATCATTTGTACTTCCTCAAACCTCAATCATAATAGGGCCATTCATACTGGTCCACACAGATCCAAATTTGTTAATAGGCCTTTTTTGCCAGCTAGCTCATGGTTTCGAAGGCTCAAACTTGAACCAACGATTTGTGCCCTCGCAGAGCTGTGACCTAGGTACTACGATTTGATGCGGAAAAAACGGCATTCTGACTAAAAATCTTGTATTTATTTGTTTTCCCTTGAGATATCAAACTCAGTTTCGTTCCTATGGTATTGTGATATCTGTATAACTGCTCAATTGCCTTGTCGATATTCACATTTTAGTTTCTCACGAATTGAGGGGAGGGGGGGGGGTGGAGCTTGAAGGATATTCATCACTAAGCATAAATACACTTTTATTTTGTGTTTTAAGAAACCTGTTTGCATGATCTTACCTTTCTGCTCTTCATAACATACTAGCTCACTTTGGAATTAAATTAACTAAACTCTGATTTCCATATTTTATTAGCTTACATCGAGAAAGGTTTTAAAAAATATTATAATTTTCTTACCACCATCAATGCGGACAGTGTCATCGGCGTAAAAAACACTCATGTAGCGGATCGCTACACTAGTAAAGCCTGAATGACTCAGAAATCTCTGTGGTAGATTCTCCTACATCTAGCAGACCGACTCAGAAATCTCCATGGCAGATTCTCAAACATCTAGCTACCGGCTCAGAAATTTCTATGGCAGATTCTCCAACATCTAGCTAGGAATCAGAAATCTCTATGGCAGATTCTCCAACCTCTAGCTAGAGAACAGCTAAGCTATAGCTCAGCTATAAAGAAAACAGACGTGTAGCACGGAGCGCGTTTATATCTGTGGCAGATTCTCCTACATCTAGCTAGACTCCCAGAACGGCAGATTCTCCAACGTCTAGCTAGACTCCCAGAACCAGGGAGATTCTCCTACATCTAGCTAGACTCCCAGAACCAGCTAAACCATAGCCCAGCTATAAAGGAAACAGACGAGTAGCACGGAGAATTCTCCAACATCTAGCTAGACTCCCAGAACAAGCTAAGCTATAGCCCGGCTATAAAGGAACCAGGCGTGTAGCACGGAGCACGTTTATTCATTACGGGTATTGCGGATAAAGTGTACACGCAGGGAGCTTAATCATATCAGGATTGGGGTTAGGTTAAACAAACAGATGTTAAGGATTGGTCACTGTTTGTACGGTCGCACCTCCCAATGCTTGGTCACTGTTTTACGGTCGCTGCACACAGAGTTGTACGGCCGCACCTC